GCTGTTGCAGTTCTTTTCTTAATTCTGAGTATGGACCCTTAGGGGATTCATCATCACTGCTAAAAACTGTGTCATCACCAGGTGGAAGAGGAGGCAGATCAGCAAAAAGACGATCCAGATCCATTGGCTCATCACTTCCTGCCAATTCTTCTGCAGGAGCCGATGAGACTACCTTTTCTGGGGGACCAAGATTCTGGTTCCCTTGTTGTAACTTAGACTGATTCTGAATCATGGGTCATTTACCGCCACCACTTGCGTCTCTTAGAACGCTTCCATCAGCGCTGCCTCCGTACAATCCTAAACATCCACTGGATGGTTTATGTGACCAACACGTCTGTTCTTGAACAGGCAGCAGTCACGAGCATTGAGGCCATGCTGCTGAGAACACAGCTGCGCTGGGCAGGGCACGTCTCCAGGATGCAGGACTGCTGCCTCCCTAAGATTGTGCCCTATGGGGAACTTGCCACTGGCTGCCGCAAGAGAGGAGCCCCGAAGAGAAGGTACAAGGACTCCCTGAAACAATCCCTCAGCCTTGGCCATATTGATCATCACCATTGGTCTACCCTGGCCTCCAATCGGGAGGCCTGGAGACACACCATCTTTAACGCTGCTGCTGCTTTTGAGAACACACGCAGGATCACTCTCGAGGAGAAAAGACAACGCAGAAAGAATCGCGTCTCATCTGTATCACCTGGGGATTTTACCAGCAATGGAGAGCAGAGTAATACCTCGGTAATTTGAGCAGTCTGATTTATCTCCTTTCCTCTTGTACAAGGTGACGATGACAGCGTCACGAAGGTCTGAAGGTAGTTCACCTCGTTCCCAGCAGCGCACCACAAATTCATGAAACTTAGCACAGAGTGCTTGGCCACCGTACTTCCAGATTTCAGGTGGGATTCCGTCAACCCCAGCTGCCTTGCCAATTTTCACCTGCTGACTCAACCACTCATGGAATTAACGGTCTGATTCGTTTATTGTGCCTAACAGCAGTGCTTAAATACATATCAGAAAGCTGTGTGTCGAATACTGGTTGGCTAATGAAGAATGAATACAGTCCCCATTGTTTATTCTTTCCAACTTCTGCATTTCTTGCTGACACTGTCTCTTGCGATTCCCATGCTGGCTTCCAGGGTCTCTTTTTTAGCTTCTCGTGTGAAAGATACATCTGTCTCCTTCGCAAGGGTACATCCTGTTTCTTGTTAAACTTTGTATTACCAATCTTGTCAGCTGATGGCCTCGCTAAACATTACAGTTCCATATATTGATTCAATATTGCAAAGGCCCCAACACATTGCCATGCCCCTCCTTTCAGTCCCACTTTCAGACTACTGAGAAGACCTGTGTGCTGGTTTGACAAACCCCTCACCTCTCAGGCTCAGCTTGAGCATGCCTGTCAGCTGCTTTTGCCAGAAGGCACTGCAGAATCTCCTCATGCTGGAGGAAGGCTGCAAGTTTTAAGGGGGTACATCCCCACTACAAGGAGAAAGAATCCCCATTAGAAAAACACAGACAAGCTCTGCACCTGTTTGAAAGAGCAGCTTTATCCACACGCCAAGGTTACCTGGTTCTGAGCATCACTCTTGGCATTATGCTGGAGTAACAGCCCTGCTACAGCTGTATTTTTAGACAGCACAGCCAGGTGAAGGGCAGTGTTGCCATCAGCATCTGCCAGATTCGGGTCGGCACCGTGTTCCAGCAAAACAGCAACACATTCTTCCTGCTCCTGCTGTACTGCCTGGGAACAACACACAGAAAGGGAAAGACTTGTAACTTTTACATTCCCCTCTGTCACAACTCCCTCAGCTCCTGAATGCTGGGAGAGAAGAGCATCTTCAAAGATTAGCTAACAGAGGTTCATGCCATGCTGAGTGCAACTTGCATGTTTCTATGGGCCTGAGGGGCAAGGAATCCTGCCAGACATCTCCTCTTTAACACAGCAACACTAACTCCACCTACAAGATCATAAGGCATTCCACACACCTTCATCAGTGCCGTTCTCTTGAAGCTGTCAGTGAGGTTTGGCTGGCTGTTCTTTCTCATCAGATATCGAACGACATCTGCATGGCCATTTGCCACAGCGAGATGCAGAGGGGTCCTAAAAATTAAACATACGCTCTTAACCTGGACAGACAAAGGAAAACCAAAGCTGTGTCTCTGCCCAGCACCCTGGGGACCCTGCCCGGACTCTGCTCCTCCTGCTTGCTGCTCTCTGGTGCTGCTGCTGCAATCCTGCGCTGATGAGCCACAGGGCAGAAGAGAACAGGTGAGGGCTGAGCAGCTGCAAAACAGCCCTGCAGAGAGACCACGGCGAAGCGGCAGGTCAGGGACACGCGTTTCCAACAGCGCTCGAGCCCCGCCGGCAGCTCCAAGCAGTGAAAGCTCCAGAGTTCACTCTCCCAGCTGACAGGGCACAGCTCACTTTTCAAGCCTTGTCCTTCAGGGAGGGCTGCCAAAACTGCTGCAGCTTGGCTCAGGAGCAGCCCAGCTGTGCCATCAGCGTCCCACAGCACTCACCGCATCTCCTGGTCTCGCCTGTCGATGCCAACTGCCCTCACATACCAGCGCCACCGCCTCAGCCAGGCCAGGTCGCCGCGGGCGGCCGCGCGGTGCAGCCTGCCCAGCCCCTTCTCCGTGAGCTCGGAGGCACTGGTGGAGCTGGGGGCAGCCCAGGGCTGCCCACTGGTGCTGCTGGACGGCGACTGCCGTCGCTTCTTCCTCAGAAGCCACGGCATGGCCCTGCTCGGAGCTCCCAGCAGCAGGAAGCTCAAGAAGCCCCCGGCGGGGCTGCCGGGAGCCAAGCAGGGATGAGGAATGGGACGAGGGTGAGGTTTAGGGTAAGGGTGACAAAGGGGACAAGGATGAGAACAAGGACGGGGAAAGGGTATAAAGCACAAGGCAGATGAGGTCGCCCTGTGCAGTGGTCGTGGCTGCAGCCACCAAGCCGGCAGAACAGGCGCGCAAAGCTCCCAGAGCGGGATGTGCTGCTGCTCCCAGAGAGGCCACAGCAGCTCTGAGCGCCGGCTCCGGGCACCACCAAAGCCGTGCCCTGCTCACACCTGTGGCGTCACAATGGCTGGGGGGACGCTCAGCACGGCCCGTGGGGTGTCCCAGAGGCCACGGGGCAGGGCGGGGCCGGGCGGGACATGGCCGGGCCGGGCAGGCGTGAGGGCGGCCCTGCTGGGCCGTGTGGGAAGGAGGCGGCCTGGGCCTTGTGAGGGCGGCCGGCGGGAGTGGGCACTGCCCCGCTCAGGGTGCCCGGGGCAGGGCCCGGGCCGCTCCCACCGGGCCGGAGGCTGCGGGAGGCGCTGGAGCAGGTCCCGCCTCACCCGCTCCGGGTTTTGGCTTCAGCTGTGGCCGGGCTGCGTCGGGACACACTGCCATGGAATGAGGCTCAGCATGGGCTCGGATCCCAGCCCGAGCAGGCGGGGGGCACCCGAGCTCTCAAGAAATGCCCACCGAGCGCTCCAAGCCTGCCATGCCAGAGTTCCGGGACAATTCCCCAACGCCTTTGTCTTGGCCCTCTTGAAGAGCAGACACCTCACCCCCCACCCCATCGTCACTGCTGGCACCTGCTGCTTTGCCAGATGCCAACAGGGAATTTCTGCTCTGCTGCTCCACCAGCCAAGCGGCAGCACACAGCAGGGCAGGGAGAAACTTTAAAACACATCTTGTCCCCGTTTGTCCCCATGACAACACAAAGTGAAGGCCCAGAGGTTCTGCACCAGCTTTCTCAGGGGAGAGACGCTACAATGTACCACTGTTATAATCTGCTTAAATACTGCAGAAAGAACTTCCGATTTGGATATTCCCTTGAGCAAAATTAAAACTCACATAAGTTATCTGTTGATACCAAAATCTGATTTTATTAATTGCTAAGAGATGCAAAGAGAAAGAGGAAAAAACAAGAAAAGGTTGGAAAATGCTTAAGATTATATTTTAGAAGCAGAGAAAAGATACCACCATACCACCTTTCCTGCCAAGCTGGTGTGTGTGTGTGAAAGGGGGGAAGTAGTTTTCTGCCTTTTTTTTTTTCCCCTCTGTATCTGCTGCTTTTTTGATGTTATCTTGTTAGCTGCAGGGGGTCTTCAAAGCTTTAGTCCTCTGGAACTCACACCCAGCCATGTCCCAGGCTGTGCAGGGTCCCACTCAGCTGCCCTTTTAGGCCTTCAGAAATATGACAAGGCTGGAAGGAAAAGGTAGAACTCCCACATGTGGCACGGTGGTCTTACCTCTCCCCAGGCTGTCACAGTTCCAGTCTCTGGTGCCAGGCAGACAGCAAGCGGTGGCGGAGAAAAGGGGAGGGGAGGTAAGTAGAGATTCTTGGCTACAGTCACCAGCTCTCTCTCCCTTTTCTGTCCCCTAATTTTCCAAAATTTCTCCTCAATTTTTTTAGTGTTCACAGGAGGTTGTACGTGGTTTCTTACACATAGCCAGTTCAGATGTTTGAGGAGATATGGTAACCTTAAAATGCTGACCTTGCTTGTCTGCACTCCGGTACCAATAGCCCAAACAACCACCTACATCCCAACTTGAAAGGAAGAACAAAAAGAGGCTCACACAATGACCTCTGATAAGAAGTGCCTGTAAGAACTGCTAAGACAGACCCACAAGAATCTTACATGGGGGATATGCTGTGCTCTGCCCTGCACACCCCAGTGCTGCCCATAAAATTCAGCCTCTCCGCTTCCCACTCCTACAGGACTTCTTCTTTGACATCCCCTTCCCTATGCTCATTTCAAAAGCTCTCTTGGAAATTCCCAAGCCTGTATCTGGCTCTCATCCCCTCTCTGCCTCAGAGCCCTTCACTTATCTGGCAGAGAGAAGGGCCTGTTCATCCACCTTCCAAAAGCATGTCCCTTCGGCTGCCTCAGGGCTTCCTGCAGTCCCTGGGTTCTTCTCTTCGTCAGCTCCAAGAAAGGAAACCAAAATCAGTGCATGACTTTAGCAGCACATCGGCCAAACGCCAACCATTCCCACAGTCACCGTCTCCTAAGTGCACCCAACTCCTTGTGTGTCTGCCTCAAGCAAGAGGTGCAGCTTGCAGCTCCCACTGCATGGCACACCTGCAACAGGGAACAAAAGCTTTCAGTGGCATTTCTGACACTTCCCTGGACCCCTGCTCCTCCTCCATACCTCCCTGACTCACCTGGGACGCTCATTTCTTGCCAAAGGTTACCGGGCTGGCACCTCAAAAGAGAAGAGGGCAATGCTTAAATGCCCACCCCTGAAGTCCCTGCCATTGCCCACAAGGCCAGCAGAAGAGCACCTGAGCTTGTCGCTCGGCTCCTCGACCCGTGGCTCTGCTCCTCTGGCAATACGGATGGGCACTGCAAAGAAATCACAGAGGCAAAAGCAACTACAGACGGATCCCCTCCGAGTGCGACATTCTGACCAAAGTTCCCCTCTCAGGTTCCTTTACGCTCACCTCTTACTGCAAGGACCTCCTTCCCATTCTGCTGATGCTTGTCAGGTTGTGCACCGTCAGAAAAAAAGCAAATGACAAAGGATGTGCTTAGATTCACTAAAGTTAAACCCACCAGAAGTATCGTCTGATTGTTACCGGCAAGAAAATGCTCACCATGCTCTTCTGCACTCTGGTGCCGATAGCCCCAACAACCACCTGCATGCCACCTCGAAAGAAAGAAGAAATGGATGCTCACAGAATGACCACTGACAAGAAGGGATGGAGATAACCTTGGAATCAGGCTGGCAGGAAAATGCTCACCTTGCTCGTCTGCCCTGCGGTGTCAATAGCCCCAACCACCGCCTGCATCCGACCTTGACAGAAAGAGCAAAGAAGGTGCTCAAAGAATGACCACTGTCAAGAAGGGCCAGATGGAGGGTCTGCTTACAGGATGGGTGCTAGCAAAGCATCCTAGCAGTTGTAGTTTTTAAGTACTCTATTACTCATGTGCAGCTGAATGCTTGTATAGGATTGGCTGATGTGGTCACGTGTGTTGTGACGTGTCAGCATTTGAAACTACTATAGAAGCCCTTGTCTCTTCCAATAAAACACGACCCTTGTAACACACCACATTAGTGTCAGGGTCTGGTCCTTAGGACTGTTTATTTATTATATTAATACAAGTGCTACATTTGGCAGCCAGAGATAACCCTGGATTATGGCTGGAAGGAAAATGCTCACCTCGCTCATCGGCCCTCCGGTGCCGATAGCCCCAGCAACCGCCTGCATCCCACCTCAAAAAAAAGAACAAAAACACACTCACAGAATGACCAGTGACAAGAAAGGCCAGAGACAACTTTGGATACAGGCTGGCTGGAAAATGCTGACCTTGCCTGTCTGCCCTCCGGTGCCGATAGCCCAAACAAACGCTTGCATCCCACCTCGAAAGAAAGAACAAAGAGAGGCTCACACAATGACCTCTGACAAGAAGGACCTGTAAGAACTGCAAAGACAGACTCACAAAAATGTTACATGGGGGATATGCTATGCTCTGCCCTGCATACCCTAATTCTGCTTGTAATACTCAACCTCTCTGCTTCCCTCTCCTAAAAGACTTCATCTTAAACATCCCGTTCCCTACGCTGATTTCAAAAGCCCTCATGGCAATTCCCAAGCCTGTACCTGCCTCTCATCCCCCTCTCTGCCTCAGAGCCCTTCACTTATCTGGCAGAGAGATGAGACTGTTCATCCACCTTCCAAAAGCATGTCCCTTCGGCTGCCTCAGGGCTTCCTGCAGTCCCTGGGTTCTTCTCTTCGTCAGCTCCAAGAAAGGAAACCAAAATCAGTGCATGACTTTAGCAGCACATCGGCCAAACGCCAACCATTCCCACACTCACCGTCTCCTAAGTGCACCCAACTCCTCGTGTGTCTGCTTCCAGCAAGAGGTGCAGCTTGCAGCTCCCACTGCATGGCACACCTGCAACAGGGAACAAAAGCTTTCAGTGGCATTTCTGACCCTTCCCTGGACCCCTGCTCCTCCTCCATACCTCCCCGACTCACCTGGGACGCTCATTTCTTGCCAAAGGTTACCGGGATGGCACCTCAAAAGAGAAGAGGGCAATGCTTAAATGCCCACCCCTGAAGTCCCTGCCATTGCCCACAAGGCCAGCAGAAGAGCACCTGAGCTTGTCGCTCGGCTCCTCGACCCGTGGCTCTGCTCCTCTGGCAATACGGATGGGCACTGCAAAGAAATCACAGAGGCAAAAGCAACTACAGACGGATCCCCTCCGAGTGCGACATTTTGACCAAAGTTCCCCTCTCAGGTTCCTTTACGCTCACCTCTTACTGCAAGGACCTCCTTCCCATTCTGCTGGCGCTTGTCAGGTTGTGCACCACTCAGAAAAAAAGCAAATGGCAAAGGATGTGCTTAGATTCAACAAAATTAAACCCATCGTGCTGCTGCGGGACGAGCTGACCCCTCTGCACAGTCTCTGCCGTCCCTGCCAGCCAAGTTCTGCCCAGGCTCTGTGCACGGGGACGGAGCGCTGACAGTTTTCAGCCCCCACACTGTTCCACAAAGGCTGTGATGTCACAAGGCCCTTGCCTGGCACCCAGGAGATGGGCAAGGCAACGCAAGGACAGACTGCGGGGATGGAGCAGGTGCAATGGGAAGGAGGTCCTTGCAGTAAGAGGTCAGCGAAAAGGAACCTCCCGAGAGGGGACCTTTGGTGCGAATGTTGCACTCTGAGGGGATCTGTCAGGATGTGCCTTTGCCTCTGTGATTTCTTTGCAGTGCCCATCTGCATTCCCAGGGGAGCAGAGCCACAGGCCCAGGAGCTCAAGTGACAAGGTGCTGTTCTTCTGGCCTTGTGGGCAGTGGCAGGGTATGGCAGGGCTCAGCAATGAAGCATTTCCCTCTTCTCTTGGGAGGTGCTCTGCTGAGGCCTGGCTCTGCTGCTGAATTGGACTGACCAAAAGAAGCAGTAGCAAAACTGGATATAGAAAACAGGGTCTCAGTACCGGCTCTCAGAGTGAGAAAGGACATAAGGAATGTTAAAGAAACAAAGCTGATAGAAGAGTATTGTTCAGAAAACTGTATAAAAGACTGCTGTTTGATTCAAATAAACAGTGCTCTCTGATCATCATATTGGTGTGTTGAGTCATCTGTGCTTGCAAGAAACCCCGCACACACAGTGTCAGAGTGGTCCCTTATGCTCCAGAAGGCCCTGCACTGTGACCATGGTCCCTTGATTCCAGAAGATTCCCATATGTCACAGTGGTCCTGAGGATTCCATGAGGCTCCATGGTGTCCCAATTGCACAGTGATTCCATCAGGTCCAGAGTGTCCCAGCACTCCTTTGAATCCATGAGGCCCTTGTCGTGGTTTTGCCCACCAGCCCATCCCTGGGGCTGAGGATGGTTTTGTCCAGGTGATTTCCGGACAAAAAACCAATCAAAAAGTTCAGTGACGCCTTTGCTAATTACATCTTTAAGAAAACGGAAGAGAAGGTTGGTGTCACAGTTGAAATTAGGAGCAGCAGCCATGTAGGAGAGAAGCGGTGGGCCCGAGGAGGGCCAAGGCCCCCTCCTCCCCCGGCTTGGGCCGGGGGCAGGTGCAGTACTGAAGCCTCCCTTCTCTCTTGTGAGAGAGTGAAGAAAAAAAAGGTTTAAAAGACGAACTGCTTAGATGAGAAACCGCTGCAGAAGAATTCCAACCATGAGATAACAGAATTTTCAAGGTCAAAGCTACAGTCGCAGGAGAGAGAAGAAAAGTTCAAAGGGGGGAGAGCTGCTTTTTCTCCTTTCGCTCTCCTCCCTTCAGCAGGGTAAAGACTGAAAAATAAAACCCTGCCACTTGTGAAAATTTGTTGGGGTGAAGAGACCCCCCACGCGGCTCACAGAGGAGCTTGTGGATGCACCAGAGATTTGTGACTTTAACAGAGAGAAAGCCTTGTGCTGGAGCAGGAGCGGCTCGGATGAGGCAGAGTCCTGTTAAAGACTTTGTGACCCTCGAAGGGGATGATGCTTATGCTGGAGCAAGACGGCTCAGATAAGCTTGGGATCTCAGTGAGAGATCCATGCTGCTAGTGCTGAAGATTTGTGACCCTGAGAAAACCTACGCTGGAACAGAAAACGGTTCGGGTAGGGATGTTGGGATCCATGTGTGGGATCCATGCTGCTGGTGCTGGAGATTTGTGATCCTGAGAGAACCTACGCTGGAACAGAAGACGGTTCGGGTAGGGATGTTGAAGATTTATGACCCTGAGGGAATGAGAGAACCTACGCTGGAGCAGAAATGGCTCAGGTGGGATATTGGGATCAAGTAAGGATCCAGACTAGACCCATGCCGAGAAGTCAATCAAGGACTGTTCTCCCATGGGGAGGGACCTCCATAGGGAAACAGGGGTGAACTCTTAAACCATTATCCCCTGTAACCCTGTGGAAGAAGATCCATAGTAAGCAAGTGTCCCCTTGCAAGCCTATAGAAGGAAACCCTTCAGGACCTGGGTAACCCTCAGCCTTCGGTTTTTAGCCCAGGAGGGGTAGGCCCAGCCCTGGAGGCCAACACAGAATGAGAGAGAGATAAAGAAGTTCCAGCTGCGACGAAAGTGCTGCAGAGTTACTGGAAAGAGAGCAAGCTGGAATTCGAGAACAGAAAAGGACTG